ATATTCAAGAGCCTTATCTAAATCCATTTGAGCATGATTTTCATCCAACCAAGAGGAAACCAGAAGAACTTTAACAAAAAAAAACAAACGTCTTGGTGGGCGCTAAATTTATTTTTATTTTAAGGACCCAGAGAAGCATGAAGACAAAAATGGAGAAACAAAATGAAATTAATATACTCTGACAAAAAAGAAGAAAGTTAAAAATCAGGAAGAAGTAGAGAAAAACAATGTAAAATAGGTTTAGTAATTGTCCAGCAGAAAACAAGGGAAAAAACAAAGTTGATAAAACAAATATTCTAAAGCAAGGAGAGTGCTAACTTAATTTTATATGTTACAAGTACCAGAATAAATACAAAACTTAAAAAAACCCTCAAATAATCAAAATAAATAAGCATTATCCAGAAGGTGAAAAGAACCCACAAATTGGAATGTTATTTTTTTTGCAAATTATATAGCTGGTAAGGGTTTGATATATAGAATTTATTAAGAATTCCTACAACTTTACAACAAATGGGAAATCAGAAGGGCAAAACATTTGAATGGAAATTTCTCCAAAAGAAGATACATAATGGCCAACATGAACTAATGCTTGACATTAGTCTTTAGGGAAACCTAAGTCAAGGCCTCAGTCAGATAATAGTTCACACCTATTAGAATAGCTATCATCACAAATACAGAAAATAACACCCATTGGCAACTGTATAGCAGATCAGAAGCCTGAGACCTTGCTGCATGCACATGGGGTCTGATCAGATGGTGTTAGTAATAGTAAGTCATATTTCTAAGTTTGATGGCTGGCTTTTGGAGAAAGGGGTTCTTATTTCTGTGGCTTACTTTGAAAAAGAATCCTATTTCTATGGCCATTCTTGAAGGCAGGAATCTCTGAGGCCCTTCCAGCATCCTTCCATTCAAAGTAATCAGCCAGAGTGCCATACTTAGGTGTATCATTTTCTGAGCCCCAACAGTCTCAAGTAAGCCTTATAACAACGCTGTGAACTAGGTGCCATTCTTCAGATTTTGAACGTGGAAACAGGTACAAAGACTAGGTAACCTATCGAGGGCACCCAGCCAGCTAAATTAGGGAGTTAAAGGCAGCTCCTCTGGACCCCAGAATCCTGTTCTTAACCACTGTGCTCTACTGACACAATCAGAAAATGGCAGGGGAGGCTGAGCAGTACGAAGCATGTACTACCTTCCACACTGCCCAGGGGAACCGGGGCAAAGACCCTAAGGTCATTCTGGCAAGGCAGCCTGTGCAGTAGGGAAGAGACTGCAGGACCCTGGTAGAAGGACATGACCTAGCATCATCTAATGTCTCTCATTTTGATTCCATCCAACATGTATTTATTGAGCAGCTACTTGGGATGCCACATACATAGCACTGTATCTTGCACTAAGATGAGCAAGACATGATTTCTGCCTTTGAGGCGCTAAGCAAAATTCAAATTATGATTTGAATTCCACTGCAGACCTGCCTAAAGATGATGATGAATGCCACTTGCAAGCTGCAGCAGTGTGGCCAGATCATGCCCTGTGTGCTTGGAAAATTTGCCTAGGAAGGGAGGATGGGTTGTCTTTAAGGTATGGGTAGCAATATGTATTGCCAGAGGGAGTCATTTAGTGGGGGGTCTGCAGCCTGAGGCAGGGGCCTGGGGTGGGCCATAGTGGTCCAAGAGGGAGACCTACCTGTAGAAGGCTGGGTCAGGGGTTTTCATTTTTTTTTTATATACTGGGGATTGACCCAGGGGTGCTTAACAATGGGGCTGTATCCCAGCCCTTTTTATTCTTTATTTTGAGACAGGGTCTTGCTAAGTTACTGAGGCTGGCTTTGAACTTGCCATCCTCCTGCCTTAGTCTCCTGAGCTGCTGGGATTACCGCATGCACCACTGTGCCCGGCTTGGGCTTCTTCACCTCTGCCTGCTGGCCACTCAGCAGCATCGTCCAGGTTACATTCCATTACACAGGGTGAGGTCCTGGTCTCCCTTTATCACCAGGATAGCTAAGAGGCACAAGTGACAACGGGCAGCCCCACAACTAGGTTCCACTCCTCAGTCATAGTTAAACCCTTCTGATTGAGACAAGACTGTTCTTGTTTCCTTCCCAAGTCATAATAATGACAGGAAACACCCAGTATTGCTCTTTGAGTAAATGATGGCCCCTGTAGCTAGGTGAGGAACTCTGAGGCACTGGATCTCTAACTTTATAGGCAATGGCACCCCTTGGAGGGCTCACCCCCAGCATCTGTGATCCCACAGGTCTGGGGGAGGCAGAGCAGTGCATTCCAACAAGCTCCCAGGAAATGCTGCTCAGTGCTGCAGGGCCTACCCTTTGGGAGTGAGCTGAAGCAGTATACTTCTCAAGCTCTGGTGCATACGACCACCTGGGGATCTGGTTAAAAGCAGAATCTAGCTGCCTTGCTGGATCTGGGCAGGGGCAGTCTACTTTTCCCACAAGTTCCCTGGAGATGTAGCAGGAGCATACCAAGTTGCCAAGCTCCAAGGAAGTGCTTTTCAACCCTGGCTGTCATAAGAGGAAGCTTTCAAGATCCCCAGCACCCAGTCTTATTCCAGAGTGATTCAATCAGAATTTCTTGGGTGGGACGGAGGCATTTTGATTCTTTAATCCACCTATTCCACTGTGGAGTGAAAGGGGTTATTGTTTACTGCCAGATCCTCCTGGGTGACATACATATATTCCTGGTCTCATGAATGAAGTCATTGCTTCTCAAGTCTGAGGCTGATAAGAAAGGTAGTGGTCACAGCTCTGAGTTTCATAGTTAAAGTACAAGTACTGAGGTGTTAAGATACTGCAGGATCGAGGTTGCAGGCTTTCTTGGGACTCTACAATGGGCACATAATGGGCTTCATCATGGTAGCTTGCAAAAAGATTATATAAAAAGAGGACCCATGTGAAGTATTTAGCAGAGTCCTAGGCACATACGTACTAAGAACTTCAAATAATGTCATCTGTCAGCCCTATGACAGTCCCACAACCCATCTGATGTTTTGTTTACTCCTTGGTATTCCCACTGGGGATGCCCAGCACTCACCTGGCCTCCCTCTTGGCAGACAGCTTGTTAGCCTTGAATATGGGAAACTTTCCTTCCACTATCGAGCCTTTAAATAGGTTCCACCTCATCAGTCATAGTTAAACCCTTCGATTGAGACAAGACCGTTCTTGTTTCCCTCCCAAGTCAGAGTCATGGACACCTTCAGAAGCAGTTTTCCCAGCTGTTGTGGCTCAATCACCCCTGGGGTTCAGATAGTTCCCACGTCCCTCTCATTTCAGTCTATGTATGTTGCCACTCTGGCTGCTGCTTCTGCACTCTGCTTTGGGAAATGCCAAGAAGTCTTGGGCAATGCATCCAGGTTTAGTCTCCTTGGTGTCAGGAGCAGCCCAACTCACCTTCCTTAGAAACCAAACACATTGACAAGGTCGGAAAGGCAGCTACATCACTCTGCTGCTGCCTTTCGCTGAGTTTGCTGTGAATCGGGGGGCTTTCTCGCCCACCTGCTGGTATTCTATATAACTCGAGGTCCTATCTCTACCTTGTATCATTGTATTTTTAAACAGAAATGTGAGATCCGACACCCAATTCCATTTCACATTGTTAATTTGCCCCGTTTTTCTGCCTCATGAGATTTGTTTCGAATCCTGATTCTGTCATTTAGTATAATCATTCTCTCACAGCCTTATGACATACCCATTTTTCATAAATTCGCCTTCTGTCAAGTTATTAATTAAAATGTTGAACAGATGGGGCCAAAGACAGGCTTTGCAGCAGGACACTCGAAATGCTATTCCAGGTTGGTAAGAATCCTTCAATTAGTTCTGTTCAAGTGCTTACATGCCCACCCACCATATTACCATCAGGATCTCCATTTTGCCCAGACACATTCATTAAAGACCACATCAAAACCCTTGTTAAGGTCCAGATACTGTGTCTCCTGCAATTTCCTAATGTACCAGTCTCACAAAATAGGAAATAAATGGAGTCTGAAATGGTTCTTCTTGGAAACAACTGCTGGCTTCCAATAAGTGCTGCTTTGATTTCTGTTCACTCTAAAAATACACCCAGCATTAGTATCAAGCTTACTGGTCTACAGCGCAGCAAACTCACATTTGGGAGGTCACTGCTAATCAGATCTGAGGCAGCAAGTGAACCTCCACAACTGGGCTGCCCACATGCCAATCCCAAGTGTGAGTTGACCTTCAAAACAGTTAACCTATGCCAGCTGAACTTCTTTATGATGGTCCCCCTTCCCCAAACATTCTAGAAACCTATTCCTTTCTTACAAAACAGCTTAACTTTTGCCAGTACCAGGCATAATTTTTGATCAAAAGTGATGCGGTTTCTAATCCCCTTGGAGTTTAAAGCTGTTACTTTGTAAGACCTCAGGGTACATTTTTAAGATCATTTGATTCTGTTTTCCTAGATTGCAATCCTAATTGGCCCCAAATAAATGTAATTTTCTTTGTTCTTGACCAGGGAGGTTTTATTCTCAATTGACCCAATTTTTCAATAACATTTGACAGTCTCACGGTGAATCCCTCAGTATTGTTGAATAGAATTAATCTAGAGATGAGACAGTGGGGTTGCTAGTTATTTCCTTATAATATCTTAATTAGCCTTGGGTTTTAGTTTCCTCTTATGAATGTTCATCCTTAAAAATGATCTCTAGTCCCTCTGGTTCTAATATTATTATTAGTTGTGTGACATAGAAAATATGACGAGGAACACAAAGGAGAGGCAACTGGGCAGAGAGGGATTCGATTCTGAGTTCTGCATCCTAAAATGGGATTTAGGTAGAAGTCAAAGGGGTGTTGAAGGCTTTGGCTCCCTCCCACTCCCAACAAACCTTTCATTTCTTTGAGATTTATACATCATAGCAGTTTGGTCTCAGCCAGGCTGCACTCTCATTTATGTTTTAAAGGATGTAACCAGTGACCTCGTTTCTAAAAGCCCAGACCCCCAAACACAAGACATCCTTCTCCAATATTCAGCAGTTTGGGAGGAATTTTTATTTTTCATTTTCCAAGTCAACAGATCTTATTTTTAACATTAGGTTTCATCAGAGAACACAAAGGTACATACTAGCCACAATAAAGCAGTTGATTTGGGGATTAGCATTTGCATTTCAGGACAATAATTGACTCCATGGTCCCTTTGCTTTGATGAAAAGTAAATGAGAATGCAAATGAGTCTTGAAATGGTTTCAAAAAGTTCATTTGATCCTCCCCCCTGCTCAATGCCCTCCCCTCCCCCAATTTATGACAAGAGGCCCTGGAGTCCAGCAGTGTCCATCAACACCTTTTTGCAAACATAAATCTTCACAGAAGTCCATGGAGGTGTTGGGTTACCACCACCTCATTTGACTACCATGGCCAATTGTTCACCTTGGGGATCACGGTTGTCTTTTCATGGAGAGGTGCAGGGTGTTCTGATTTTTATTTTTTTAAGGTTTAATTCTAGTTGCTTAAATAAGCAAATAAAAACATCCCCCAAATGATTGAAATCTGTTGGATTTATTTCTTTCTGAAGTTTATACATTTACATATACCATATACATATTTTAAATCCTTCACTATTTTGCATGATTTCTGTTACATAAAAACCATTTTAAATGCAATAACATTTTGTTGCTGCAAAACAACAAAATACCCCCAACTTATAAAAACAACAGGAACAGTTATATTCTTGAACATTTACACAATAGAGAAATGTACTATATATATCACAGCTTCTATACATGTCAGGTGACCCACTTGTCTACAAGCTTTACTTTAATAACAGTGAAATAGGGTAATATTTATATACAACTATTTTAATAAAAAATAAAGCAATTGTAAAATGTAAACTTAATTTTCAAAATATACTTTAAACACTTTAACAATATCCACATAAACTACTGTTCCGTTCAAAAGATGACCACCATAAATGCCACGGATTTCTAGATGGCACTTCTGGGATCTGGTGGGTAATATTGCGGAACAGGTTTCCAGTATATGATACGGTACCACTGGCTTACCCCAACCTGCTCATGCTGACAGTCTGGCCACTGAAAAGGAGTAGGCTGCTACTTTGTCACTAATTACTTTCACAATTTGCAGGGGACATATGGCACCATGACTGCAATGAAACTGAAGTGATTGGTGGAGAAAACTTTGAAGGTAAAGGAATGTTCCACATTGTTAACTCCTTTCAGCCACAGTGGAAATAATCCAGTTACTAGGTTGGGAAATTTAAAATCTTATTTTATGCTGAAGGATACAAACTACTACCCTTCGGTGTGTCCCACAGTAACCAAGGCTGACATTATGGGTTCTCTACTTGTGTTAATTTCTGTTCTAGAAATGGGTTCCTAAAACTTGAGGTAGAAGAGGATGCAGGGAGGCATGGAGGCCTTTACCCGACAGCTCTCACCTGGACAGAGCAGAATTACTGAGCAAGTTTAGTGTTGCTTGACCCTTTCCACAGAAATGAAAATCAATCTGGGTACAAAGGCAAAAGTATCACCTAACCCTGCTTAGAGCTCAAAGTGTCAGTTTGTTTCTTAAAAAGGCAAAATACCAGGACCTAACTTCAGGCAGAGAATTTTTCTCATTACCATTTTCACGTGCCACCCTCAGTGACTCAGTCACTCTCCGAGTTGGTATTTTGCCTCAGCAGGGTCAGCTCACAGGAATTCCTAAAGCATTTGAAACCCAGGATGTGCTTGTTGCTCAGTAGAAGCCCAAGTGGAGTGGAAGGCCAGGGGAGAAGCTCCAGAGAGGGCACACGTCACCCTCTGCAGTACCCTGGGATTCAGGGTTCAGAGCGGTGAGCCTCAGACCTGCAGTGTGGTCCTTCATTGAGCCTTGTGGCTGGGACTCTTCTAGGAGCATCCAAAGACTTTCGCAGATTGATGAGGAAATACTAAGTAAAACTCCAAAATTCTCTCCATTAACCAATGTTTTCAGGAATTGAAGTTAAGGTGCTTATTTTTATAATACTATGAGAGCTCAGCTCTCCACCCTGCAAAGGGAAATGTGTTTTTGCTAGGTTCCTTCCCATTTCCATCCTCAATGCAGGCTCTCACCAATACAGCGTGGAGACGAGGGCAGACACTCCTCATCTACTGCTCCTAGGCTACATGCTTGGTGGCTTCTCCATTTGTGCTTCTTGCTCAATGGAACGATCTGCAGAGCAAGCAGCTTGGCCATGCTGGAAAGTGGTGCATGCTGGCTTTTCACCCAGGCTACTGAGGAGAGCTGGAGAGCTGCTGCTGCTTGTGACCTACAGGAATGTTGGTGGCCCACCCACCAGGAAGGATGTAACACATGACCCTGTTCTCTGTTACAGATGCAGTGCATCTCAGAGTCAGACACTAGAGCTCCGATTCCTCCCTGGTGCTTGGAGAGCATTTGTGGTGCGGCTTCCTCCCTCTTTGTTCCTTACCTCTCTAAAGCACTCTGGCCCGGTGTGTCTTAAGGTCTTATGTTTTTATCACTTAAAACATTCACTGTGTGTGCTTGTGTCCAAGCAGGTGTACACAGATGAGGTCCCAGATGTATCCACTTTCCCCTTATATACCTAAGGGGACCATAAATGGGTTCTGAATCTCTTAGGAGCAGAAGACTGAACACATGCAATGGCTACCCCACAGAAGGCAGCCACTTCACCCCCTCCACTTCATTTGGTCTAATTATGCTTATTCCTAAAGCTTACAAATAGTATCCTAATAGCATTAAAATTCAATGTGCATATATACTCTCTATAGAGTGGATATTACCCATGTCAAATAGTTACTTGGATATGTAACCTCCATGGCTTTGCATTAAAATCCAAACATTTCAAATGACTAAGGCCCAAAATAAAACTTTTTATTTCTACTACTCCTTTTCTATATGATTTCTGAATCAAATGGCTGTTTTTTGTTTTTTTTTTTTTTGCAAATCACAAATAATTCTTACAAGGAAATTCTCTTGCAGAACTAAGACCCTGCCGATCAATTGGAGAGCCAGTCCACTGCACGTCAAGAACAAATTAGGAAATATATTTGCAAAAATAGTTTGAGACTGTAGAGTTAATAATAATAAAAAACTCAAGTGTACCTACCAACACACTACTGCAGCCTGGAGCTGGAGATTTATCTCCCTCCCCACAATTCCAATTCTCTGCATCAGATACAAAGACATGAGGCAGCGTGTTCAAACAAAAGACACTGCACTCAGCCACTCACTCAGACACACTCAGTCGCTGCTTTAAATACACCAAACATGCTGGTTAATAAAATTTTAGTCTCTAGTTATTTATTTACACTCTATAATATAAGCAATAAGGTCAAACAACTAAGGCCAGTGGCTCTTCTTTGGGGAGAGGCAGGAAAAAGAGACCTAAGTATAAAAATATTAAATAAAGTTTTAACCTGGTCCTAAAGTCCTTTCACCTGTGACACTAGCTGCTGATTTGTGCACCTACGAACCTGGAATACAGTACCCAATCTTGGGATGCCCTGATATACTTCAGTGTTTGTGATATTTCTTTAAAGAGGGTAAGGATGCGGCACCAGGAGAGTGGTATCATCTATTCTAAGATATACACAGGTACATAAATGGTATAGTGGGTACTTGCTTAATTTTGAAAACTATATTTTTTTTCTGGACTAATTACAACAATAAAGAAAGTGCGCTCGAAAAGCATCACATTTTGTAATAAGCCCAAAATTGTCAGTTCAACATTACGGTTAAGTGCTCTTACTGCTAAAGTCACGAAGACTGTACAGGCTGCCTTCCTCCCCTTTTCTTTCTATATTTCCCAAATTACAATAAGTGACCCCCTCAGTATTGCACACTGTACACGTCAATAGACTCATAAATTAGTTCAAAGTCATTTTTGCCCCAGTTATTCAAAGCTCAAAGATGGAATTTTCTATAGTCTCATTAAAATTTTAATCAAAATATTATTTAAATTTAAGTTTAATAAAACAATACCACTATATGTACTCTCAACAACTGTACCATATAATCAATCCTATGAGGTTTTTACTTGCTTTTCATATTACACTGGTTATTAAGGACAAAAATAATTTTGATGTACATTTACCACACATTGATATACAATCTATACAGATGCACGTACATACATACAACTATAAATATCCACAAATACAACGTTGGCAGGTGACAGAAAGCATTTTCTTTGACATCTGACATACTGTCTACACAAATATTTTCCACAAGCCTGTAGTACAACAGATACACGCATAAATTGCAAAGGATGAGCCAGAGAGACCTAAGGAAAACTACTTGTATGTACAATTAACTTGCAATGTTTCCTTGCTGTTGCATTCAAGTTGACAAACTGTCATGCAGATTCAAGTATTTACTGCCGTTCTCCATGAGGACATTTTCTCTACATGCAATGGGCCAATTACTGTCCTAAGCAGAAGGCTGCCCCTGCTCGGGTCTGGGATCCTATACATACAAATGGAGAATGCCTATGGACTTCAATCCTTCTTTTAAGGGTGAGAAATCGAAAAGGGATCCTGAGGGGACAAACAGTGACAAAGCACCTCTCTATCACTATCAATAATCTATCATGGGATAATTTTGTGGTGATCTCAAAAGTCCTCCAGGTGACCTGATGGCATAAGATGTCAGAAGAGTTGGAGAGAGATCTGCTGACCCGGGGGCAAACCAGCAGCCTGGCCTGGGGAAAAAGCTAGAAAGTTTTGGAGCTGGGTAGGCCCTGGGGCTCATGTGCCTCTGACTGATCTGTTTCTGAGTTAACTTAGATGCTCTGAAATGAAAACAGACACTACAGAAATCCAAAGCTGAGCACTATCATTCATAAATTAGGCTCATCTTTTGACAAGTGCTAGGAGGCCACTTTGGTTCACTGTTTTTCAGGGCTAGTTTTACACTTGGAAAAAGAATTCTGTCATTTGAAAACTAAAAGGATTGTTCTCTGCTAAAGGTAAGGAAGGAGACTAGCTGGAGACCTGCTAAAAACTCGAGTCCACCACAGCCAAACTGTGGTGATTTAGGCCTAACAAAGCAAAGGAACTTACTGCACTGAGGCCAGAATAAGCTTAACTGATAACTAAAGAAAAATGCCAAAGAATTCAAACTCCAAGGGCAAGTAACTAAACTAAACCCAAGGCAGCCTTGACAGGAAGGCAGGAGAGAACTTGATGTCTATAAGGTCAATTTCCTTCCAGTTGCCAAGGTTTAGGTAAAAAGAGAAGAGGTGCCACGGGCAGGCCAGGCCAGGCCAGGCTCTGTCTTATCTCAGGATAAAGGCAGGAGCAGGCACAGAGCAGTCCCAGACTCTGTGTAATTTGGTGCTTAGGCATCCCCAGGGCCTCTTTCCTTGATGGTCATGTAAATTCTCCCCCAATTTCACAAAGTTCTGTGGTTTGGCCACAGGGTAGAATACAAATCTGAAAACCAACCAGATTTTCCTCTTCCAGAATTAGTTCTCTAATGGCTCCTCTATCTAGGAAATGGTCCTCACCTTCTGGATTAGGGTAACCACAAAAGCACAGAGGTTCTGACAAGTAGCATAAGACTGCCGCATGAGAAAATGTCTTCTCTTTACCTAAGAGCAGTCAAAAAAGGTTCAAATAATCCAGGAATTATTTTTATCAGGACTTCCCCCCCAACACATGTTGGTTTTACTAAGATTAATTAAAATGCACAAAAGTATTGTCTAATTAGACATTATTAGAATAAGGTCAATGATGTTTGTAAAAAGAACACTACAGAAATGCCTATGGTCTGGCAATAAAATAAGGACTCTGCGTGCCAGTAACTAATTTTGATTGATAACAACTCTCTGACACCTCCCTATAAGAGCCAGCATGTTAGGTGGGGGCAAACCCCCAACCCCACAGATTTTATACATGGGCCACTTTCATGGTCAGCTTTGCACCAAGACTATCACAATGGTATTCTGATACCTTATCAAAATTTTCTACAGTAGGAATTAATATAAAATGTATTTATGTGATGAGGAATAATGATTTCCCACATGGAGAGAAACCCCAAGGGTCCTGGGCACTGAGGTAGGGGTGAGCAGGAGGTATGGGGAGGGTGGGGGTGGGGGCTGGGGAAGTACCTTTAAAAGAAGAGGAGGAGAAGAGCTCCCCTGTACCGTGAATTGGGCAACAGGCTGGGAGTCACTGTGAACGGAAACATCTTCCATTTCTTCAAACCACAGGAAAGAAATTATCACAAAAGAAACTGTGGTTGGCTACAGACTGACTCTCGGAATCCCGTCAAGTCAGGGGCCATTTCCAGCCATGGGACAAACTCTCAGTCTTGCTACAGAGACTGAAAACACAGCTCCTTCCAGAGGCCTCAGGGAAGAGGAGGCACGCTAGGCTCATCCCCTGAAGACAGTCAGCAGCACCACACGGGATCCTGGCTCACAAAAGAGCCTCCACATTGTTATTAAAGATAAATATGCAAATGTGGCATTCTGCAGCCTCAAAAGTGCCCTTGTCATGGGGTTACCTACTAGCGTATCCGGAGTCCCCGGAGCTAACCTCAGTGAGTCTCCTAACAGAAGATGCTGTGGTGGTGCTAATGCTAACCAAGTATAACCAATACTGCAGCAAGGTACCATTCAATGTACATTATAAACTCTAAGTGAAACACACAAACATCCTATATACATAGACACACACGGTGGGCAGACACATTCAAGCCAGTCAGGGACTCTAATTTCTCTTCAGTTACTGAAGTTCATAGACGACAGGATCTAGGTACCTCTCTCTCCTCATCTAGTACAAATATTGAGGCAGAAAACAAACACTGATATTTCAGATTCTAGCAGGAAAGACAACTTGCTTGTGGAAATCTTGGATTCAGAAGCTATGAAAATGATTCTGGTATATGGATCACACTGGTAACTACCGTGTTTGCTTCACGGTTCTGAAACATAAATGTAGCCACGGCTTTTTACCTAAACCAGGTTAGAGTCAGTTTTTCAAAGGTGTGGCAAAATACCACAAAGCAAGCAACTGCCACCTCAGAGAGGGTTGCTCTTCTCTGGACACCAGCAAATATGCACATGTACACAGGTGAAGGAAGTAAACATTAATAAATAATCCTGTGACTAAATGTGAGTACATTGTAACAATATATCACTAGAAACTACCGTGATGTCTTAGTAGGTTTTCTCTAGTCCACTGGAACTGTGCTATTCATGCAGAGCAGCAGATGCTTTGGTCCCAGTACCTACAATAATAAACTAAGGAAAAGTAGAGAAAATTCCTATGGGAGGGAAAAGAACATGGAAAGTGATACTGTCGGTTTTGAAGCTGGATGGTTTGGGAAGATGACAGCTTCAGGGAACAGTTTCAAGGTGTGGAAATCTAAAAGTTCTTTATGTCACTGGGGACTCAACATTCACTCCCTTCTGTTCCTTTACAAGAGAATATTCTGTTTATCTCCCAGAATTTCAAAGGGACTGTCACTGGAACGAGCTCATGACTGTAAGGTGAACAGAACTATTTTGAGTATACAGAAAGAAATGATTTAAAATAGGTTAAAAAAAATTTTAGGAGCAAGTTTAACAGTAACAGAATAAAATGGCTGTCCAGAGACTGGCATAAGAACAAACTAAGAAACTCTGCATATGCAATCAGAAGATTCCCCCATTTTCTAACCACAATTCATCCACACTTCACTTTCGGATTTAGCTTAGGGAATCTATATCCACTGTTGAACAGCTGCAGCTGCTTTTTGCTCCATTATTTTGTCTTGACTAAGGAAAGAGCAAAAGGGGTTCCATTTTCAACATTATTCTGTTATGAAGGAAAACCCCAACATTCTTACAACCAGGAGATGACATCATGCCTATATATATATGTAGAGCAAAAAAGAATATATTCCTGGATGGAAAGGTATCAACGATAGAGATGATTCTGGATTCCTAGTCTAGACCCTATGGGAGTGAGGTAACAATTTCCTGCAGACCAAACACATGTCTATTGCTGCAGCTCCCAAGAGCCAACAATTGCCACTATCATTTAGAAAACAAAATTTGCTTAGTATCAATGTGTCCTCAGCCTTCAGTGGCAAGACGGCTCTCTTCCTTTTTGCCTTGCTTGACTGGAAGGGAATCCACACTTCAAGCAAGCTAATGTGTGTCCCTAGGTTCTCCAGTCCTGTGACCTTTCATGCCCTCTTCCCCTGCTTCTGGCAGGGTCAGAACTCAGCAAGAAGTGCTGGGGTGCACGCAGAGCTGCATCCCACAGAAACATCTCGATCCCCAGCATCGTAATTCTCACTTGAGCATCTGTGAGGACTCAACTTCACCTCCGTGACTGGGCAAGATTTCACATATAAAGGCTTATATTAACTCTGGCTAGAATTTACTAAACTACAAAGTTTGTCCAGTTAAGTGTTACACAATGGATTAAATTTTTAACCTTTAAAAAAAATATAACAGTGGATTTGAGAATACATAAAACAACTGAGCAGAGTGCAAACGAGAAAAACCAAAGGAGAAGGGATGCGTAATTCATTCTGGAATCACGATCTTCTCCCCCTCACAAAAAAAGGTGCATTAGTTATCAAATTGCAAAAATCATTAAAGCAAAGAAATCAAGAGCGAAGACAACCTGTACAGAAACTAACAAAAATATACAATATAAAAAGTTACTAATGCACCATTTAGTCACATACTTTTTTTTTTTAATATATTCACGGATTACCAGAAATATCTTGAAAAACCCTATTTTGCTCCATGACCAGCACTTCCTGGCAGCAGAGTGGATCCTAAGTAACTTTTTGCTTAATGCTTGGTGTTTCAGGTCGGTGGTCCTTCCTCTCTGACACATTACGCTTGACCTTGGCGGTGATTGGGGATGACTCCGGGTTCAATGAAGGACTCGAGTGAGACTTCTTCAGTCCCGCAGCCTCGTTTTCATCGTGACTCAGGAGCTCCTTGCCGCCTTCTTTCAGAATGCCGACGTAAATTTCATAACGGGTTTTCTAAAGGGAAAGTTGGAGAAGAAGGGTAGTCAGTACACGCTCACCAATGCACGTGCGGCACACCTCGCGTGTGGACCACCCAGAGAACTGAACAACTGCCCTGAACGACTGCCGGGAGCTCGACTTCATTTCTGACATGACACAATTCATGCAGCAACAGCCACGGGACTGATTCATTGATTCAGATAGAAATTTTTTATGTCAGAATTTTAGCTATCATTTGTTCTGCATATTCTGATAGAATGCCAGCCTGGGTTACTGGCTACTTGATGGAGGAATTGTGCATGCTGAGCACTCAGGCACCAGAGGATCTCAGCCCTGGGGGGCTGTAACCTCTGGTTTTGAGTCACTGGAGCCTCCTCCACATGACCTAGGCCTTGTATGAACCTGGCTGGGATATAGCTGTTACTCTTTCCTACTCCAACTTGGCCAAGACTCACATAGAGGGAAGGATCCTTCTATGATGAATCTACTCCAGGCTCCTCAGAGGACCACAACTCTTTCCAGAAGCTGCTCTGGATTTCCCTCCATTCCTTTTCTTTTTTTGCTGGAATTATCCGCACCTCATTCTCAGGGTATTGTGAAGAGCAGCTACCAGTATAAACATGAAGTCTACACGACTTCAAATTATTTTCAGATGCTTTTCTCATCCAACAAATTCTCCTTCATCAACTATTTATTGAATACTAGCGTGGTTCAAACAATCCCTTGCTCCCTTATTTCCTTGGGTCTCATTACCTTTTTCTAATCATTGAGAACACTGCAGAGACTTCTTTCCTCTCCTCTAGCCCTGCCACTGTTTTTGACGCTGTTTCTATGGAAGTCACTTATTTAGTTCTTGTGTGTGTGCGTGCCCCCCCCCAACATATATATTGTGATTTATAGAAATGCCTCAGATTCTTGATTTGATATATTTTAGTCAAAATAAGTCTTTCACCATGCTGCCTCCACACATGAAGAATTTACAAAGACTTAAAGTATTTTATTTCTAAACAAAAGAACATGTCAGTTACAAATCATCCAAACAAAGACAGGCAAATTCTGTTAAGACTATACATCTTTCAGGGACATTTCCAGTTAGATTACAGTCTTGCATATGTCACTTTTAATAACTGCACAAAGTGCTACCTCTCCAAGTTTCTTATATTTGCTCTGGGCTTGGTGGGTCTCCAAGCAGGGTGCTGAGCTTTGGCTGATGATTTGGTGACTTTTACATTTTGGCTCCCATGCTGACTTCCAGTTACTCATGCATATCACATATAATTGGTAGCATTATTATCCCCTTTTACAGGGAAGAAAACAAAGGCAGATAAGCTTGAAGCCATACTAAGCAAGAAATGCAAGTTTGATTTGAACCCAGGCAATCTGAATTCAGAACAGAATGTAGCTTGCCAGGATGGTAAGCTACATTCCCTCTCTGGATATGAAGATACAGACACAGGAATGAATGTATGTTTCATAGTGACCTCTGTCTGGCACACTTCAGTGGCCAATCAAAAGCCCTTCTCAACCCCCTCTTCTCCTGTGTCTCTCCCATCACAAAGGCTGATACAATCCACCACAGCTTCCTTCCCAGCCCTGCTTGCACCTAGGATGGGCCAGGTGACATCTAGCCAAGGAGATAGAAGACGTCTGCTAGGGATTTCTAGGAGAGGAATTCTGCTTTCTGTACCAGGGACAGGCTTTAGAGGAGAGGACCCTGGTACTAGCCCTTCCTCTCATTCTTGCCAGCTGACACCCTGTGATGTGGGACAGTAGGTATAAAGACAAAAGCACTGTATGCTAGGCTTGAGGAAGTGACGAAAAGACAGAAATGCCTATGTTCTTGATGACACAAAGAGCTTGATCCAACCCCATGACCCCCTACTTCCTCTGGATTCTTAATTAAAATATTAAAATTCATCATTTAGCCAATGTTAAGTATTTTTATTTGTAGCTGAAGCCTTTAATAACTGATATATGATCCAATTTTGACATAGAAGTTAACAAAATAAAGAATAACATTATAAACATTATCTCAGAAAGCCACATGAGAACTCGAAAAGGGCATTTACTAATAAAGAAGGTTATCAGTATCACTCATCAGTCTATGCATAGTGAAATCAGGAGATTGAACTAGATGATATCCAAAGGACATAAAGGTTCTGAAATCCTATTCATTCTCAGAATTCATTACTTAATCTTTCTCCAAAATGCCTGAGTGGCAAGATTAAATAGTATAAAAAGGCACTATTCCCAATAAGAACAAGATTTAGTAAAATGATCTAGAGGTAGTTTAAAAATAGATTAAGGAAGCCAGGATCAGGGCTACTATTTCATGGAGCTGAAGCATTTAAATGATAAAGAGTATGAAGGGCAGTTGATTAAGATGGTGTGAATGGGGACAAAAGAAGAGAAGGTGATAGGGCCAGTTTTCTATTCATTTTGGAAGAGACCGATACTAGAGAAAATTTACTTGGAAAATACATGAAGGAAAGGCATCTGATCCACATTTTCCACAATTCCACCTGTGAAGCTATTGTGTCAAATAGATCCCATCAGTTTGTCAATCAAGGAATAAAAGGTATAGCCCGGGGGCATGGCAGCATATGAGCCATCAGATCAGAAGACAAGACAGAGCAGAGGAAAGGGTGAGGGGGCTAGAAAACAAGGACTGCTCTCCTGTCATTAAGAGAAATGAAGAAAAAGAAGCCTATGTGAGTTTATGAATTTCCAAATGGCTGTGCTCCATTTCTGATTAAAACGGCTTCCGGGTCAGCAGCTACAAACCCAGTAACACGGTTCTGCTTTTTACCTCTCCGAGTTTTCACTTATACCAACCAAATGTGCTTCTTCAAACCTTTTAGGAAAACACTACTTTAGCCTCATACAATTCAGCAGCCATTAGCCTCAGTCATGTCTTGTATTTCCCTTCTATGCCTGACTTATTTGACTTATTTCACTTAATATAATGCCCTCCAGTTTTATCCACGTTGCTGCAAATGATAGAAATTCATCCTTTTTTATGGTTGCATAAGATTCCATTATAGACTCATGGAATATGTGACCCCTTCTGTAGAGGCTTTGGAACACCTCTGAGTAAATTCAAACAACTCTGCGTGAGGCCAAGAGAAGCACCAGGAATGAATGAAACTTTAAAGCCCTTTCTCTGTTGATTCCCACTGTAAGTTCCCACTGTCTTTCTGGAGTGTAGGGGGTTAGCACTTCTCATAACGACAATCCCATTTTTGGGAAGTCAGTCTTCTTCCTTCCTTTCAGAGAAGCCATGATTCTCATCCTTTTTTTCCTAAGACCAATAGTAAAATTTAAGTTTCAAGTTACAGCTGCTGTGTAAGGAAAAATAAAATGGGAGGTATATTTGTAAATCATTTAAAAATTATTTTTACGGACACAGCAATTGTACATATCCAGGAGGTACCGTGTGCAACGTGCACAAGGCATGTAACGATCAGATCAGAATAATGGGGATAACTCACAGCAGACTTCATCACGTCTTAGTGCTGGGAACATCCAAAATTCTTACTCTTCAACCGTTCTATCGGTCTCATTGTCACAGTTACACTATCTACTGTGCTAGAGAACGTGAGGAGTTACTCCTCTAGTCCAGCTCCACTCCTGTATTGTTAACTTTCCCCTATCTCCATCGCCCACCTTCCCAGGCCTGGTAACCACTATTCTATTCTCTACTTTCTTGAGATCAATTTTTCAGTGTTCACACATAAGTGAGAACAGGCAGTATTTTCCCTTCTATGCCTGACTTATTTGACTTATTTCACTTAATATAATGCCCTTCAGTTTTATCCATGTTGCTGCAAATGATAGAAATTCATCCTTTTTTATGGTTGCATAAGATTCCACTGTACCCACACATACATACACATTGTATTTTATTTATCAATTTATAGACACCTATGTTGATTCCCTATCTGGATGAATGTGACTGGTGTTATGATAAATATACAAGTGATTTCCTTTGGATATACACCCAGTAGTGTATGGGTGTATACATGGTAGCTCTATTTCTATGTTTTCTGAGGAACTTTGCCACTTTGCCCCAACAACTGTTGGAATTTACATTCCCACTAACAGTATATGAGAACTCCCTTTTCTCTGCATCCTGGCCAGCATTGTTATCTTTTGTCTTCTTATCTAACTGGAGTCAGGTATCTCATTAATGCTTTGATTTGTATTTCCTTGATGATCAGTGATTTGATCGTCTTTTCATATACTTGTTGGTCATCTGTAAGGTCTGTTCAGGTCATTTTCCCATTTTCCCCGTTCTCCTTCCCACCACCCCCCCCACCCCCATCTCCAATCCTCCCCTATTGCCCATTTTCTAGTTGGATTTTTTTTTTTGCTGTCTAGTTGAGTTTCTTACATATTCTGGATGTTAATCCCTTGTCAGATGAATGGTTTGCAAATATCTTCTCTCATTCTGAAGGCTGTTTATTCACTCTGTAGATTGTTTCCTGGGCTGTGCAGAAGCTCGTCAGTGTGATATAATCCCATTTGCCAATTTTTGCTTTTGTTGCCTGTATTAATGGGGTCATGTCCAAAAAAATCTTTGCCCAAAACAACGTTTTAAAGCCTGCCTCTTTCTCTCCCCCTTTTCTCTCTCTGTGTGTGTGTGTGTGAGAGAGAGAGACAGAGTGTGTGTGTGTGTGTGTGTGTGTGTGTTTTAAAGTACTTTTTAAAGGTCCGATGTATCGATGTATCAGAGCCCAAAAAACTTGATGATCGATGTTCAAATGGTCAACTTTGACCAAAGAAGCTTATGGATGTTAAGGCAGATGCTGTTGCTTCCCTAACAGCCTCTTCCCCATGCTAAAGAAATTATGACTTACTTTCTTTTTAAAATGTAGGTTTTCACTGTGGCCTGCGGCGTGGGAGGAAACATGGTTTAAACCAGATGTGGTGGTGACCCTTGCCAGCTCTGCCAGGCTCCCCTGCAGCCATGGGGCCCAGCTGTGACCACTGACAAGGGTGCTTCTGTGAAAGTA